GGTGGAAGAAACTGAGGTTTGTAATCTCCTGTCATGGAACAGAGCCTGGAACAGGTGTAGACAGAGAACAACTTGTGTTTTCTGCTCAGAATCAGTGAATCCCAATATGAAGTCAGTCATTAGCTCAGTTAGCCATGCAGAGAGTCTGGGAGTAAACAGCAATTCCCTGGCATGGAATTAGCTTTTCATTAAAAGCACTTAAATCTCCTCAAAGCTTCACAAATATTTTCTTCCAGGTAATAGCAAAGCTCTTTAATTAAATTGATAAGTGAATGGATGACAAAAACATCTGTGATTGCCCTTGGAAAGAACAATGTGCACAGGACTGATTTAAAATCACTTACAAATGGTCACGTATAGCTGAGGATGGGCAGGAAGAATAAGGCAAAGAACTGAACTGCTTTAATAAGCTGATTTTGATGTACCTTTGCCATGGAGTGTTCTTTGAGCACAGAGCTTGTAGTCATGTGGGAATGGGATTTATTTAGGTACAAGTTTTGCCTTTTAATGAAGTTTAACTTCATCGGGAATCGATTTTGCTAACGATAAAATGGACATAACTTTGCCTGGTTAAATAGGTATAAAATAATAGAGTTGCTTAATGCATTTGCCTTCTGTAATTTATACCTGGGCAGCTAATTATGATCATCTGCCTGAAAGCAGGAGAGGTTTGCACAGGACCACAGCTTGTAGGAAAAGAGTTATTGTCACCTGCAGATCAGGATTTATGTGGCTGCAGAGGCAGAAAAAGAAGGAACTCAGTTTTCCTGCAGTGGTTTATAATCTTCCAACCCAGCACAGCACTGTCCAAGCCCATGAGACAGTGAAGGATGAGGATAACATGGAATTTTTTTCACTGATAGACTTGATCAAAATCTTCGAGGAAGATGCAAGAGTGAAATTTCTGTCTCTAACACAAATATTTCAGTGCTGTAGCAAATAATTTCCTCCCTTGTATTAAGGGATTGGATTTAGTAACATGTGTCCAAGGTCGGTACAGGTTTTTCCTATTTGGAATTAAGTGTTTCCATGCTTTTTGCAATTTGTGGTGCACTTAAAATGTCTGTGCTGCTTTGGCTCTCACTGCAGCACACACTTCTGGGGGAAGTGTCACTTTCTCAGAAGTCTTGCTCTGCTTTTCCTGATTTTTGGGATGAATCTGTTAAGCACCATGAATTAGAAAATGAGTTACAGAGTGGAGTTTTCAAGCTCTTCCTGTGGAAAGGTGAGATGCAGAGAGCCATTAGGTGATGAAAGCCTCACTGAAAGCCTTTTCTGCTGTGGTGTTTGAGGCATAAAACCCACAATCCTTGAAGGTATTTTGTTTGTTAGAGTTTGCATTCTGGTGTGCTTCCCTGGGAAAGAAGAGGGAATGCTGCAGAGGGAAGAAGAGGACTGCAGATCTGTGATAGGGCTGGAAAACAAGCTGAAAACTTAAGGCTTGAAAGTCCTTTTCACTTGAGTCTTGGTGCTTGGATTGCTCTGGGTGGTTCCTGACTGACACACGAGTGTAGGTCAATGCAGTGAAGCCTTTGTGTGTTGTTGACAGAGACACAGAAGCTCAACAGCAGAGTAAGCACAAATTCTGCCTCGCACGAAGAAGTAATTTCATAAAAATAAAGTGGTCAAAATGTTGGAACAACTTACCATAAAAATAGAGGACTCATTGTTGGTGGAAGTCTTTTAAGGGTTCCTGACTGACACACGAGTGTAGGTCAATGCAGTGAAGCCTTTGTGTGTTGTTGACAGAGACACAGAAGCTCAACAGCAGAGTAAGCACAAATTCTGCCTCGCACGAAGAAGTAATTTCATAAAAATAAAGTGGTCAAAATGTTGGAACAACTTACCATAAAAATAGAGGACTCATTGTTGGTGGAAGTCTTTTAAGATTAGGTTGGAAAGAAGTAATTTCATAAAAATAAAGTGATCAAAATGTTGGAACAACTTGACATAAAAATAGAGAACTCATTGTTGGTGGAAGTCTTTTAAGACAAGATTAGGTTGCTTGGTAAAAAGTCATTTCTTTGAGCTTTTGGGCTGTTTTGTGCATGGCCTGGAGAGAGAAGATGATCCTTTTAGCACTGAAATCTGTTAATCTGAGCAAACCTTCTTCAGGGCCCTTGAGGAGAACAGAATTGCCTTTGTGGTCTCAACATGTTAATAATATTACTGCAAAGATCCTAATCAAACCTCATGCTTCAACTTTCCAGTGTGAAGGTTCAGGCAGGAGTTTTTTCCAATATACACTTAATTAACTCTGTGCTCTGGTTTTCTTTGGCTTTGCTTGTCCTTCTGTGAGGCATCAGGGGGTGACCACAGCGAGAACAGGTCACTGGAGAATCCTAACCTGAATTTTAGGTCATCTTTAGAGCAGTGTGACAGACTTTGGTGGGCTGTTAGGAACATATTTATAGCTGTTCTGTGCTGATATTGCTTAAAATCTCTCTGATGCCATGCTCATTTTGTAGCTCCATGTCATCTCTTCATGTAATTTCATTGATATTTTGATGCAGTTTCACCTTTTCCTAAAGTTTTCCTTCATTTGAATCCACTAACAATTGGCTTTGAGTGGGACAGCAAGTGGGACAGCAAGTTTGACAGTCAGGAAACGTAAGGAAAATCTGTCTATAATCTGAGGGAATAACTCACAGGGATTTGATTTGTGACAATGTTATTGCCAAATTGCAAACCCCAGTGTTCTCATATTTCTGTCTTAATTCTTCCTCTTTGCATAGTCATCACTGGTACAGTGATGTGGTCAGAGCTCTGCTCAGTGCTGAGATGGACACAAACCTTTGGCTCCTCTTGGCTAGGAGTCTTTTTGCTTTCTTCTGTCCCAAATGATGGTGGTTTTAGCACAGACCTTCAGCTGGTGGGTTCCAACCACATCTACCTGCAGTGTCTCCATGATGAAATGCCTCCTCACAGCTCTTTGTGAAACAGAGCAGTAACTGGAGTTTCACACAGCTCAAAGGTTTCGAGAACTTCCGATGGGCACCAGAAGCTTTTCCAAGTGTGTGTGGCTCCATCCATGCTGGGTTTGGTGGTGTTCTCTGGGAGTTTGGAGCCTTCTGGTTGTGCAGCTGCAATTCAAGTAGATTGATGATGCTAAGTGTTCTTTTTTGTTCTCATAGGTGGTGTCATTTTTAATATTTGTGTGTTTGTTTGGTAATTTAGCGAGGGAAGTTGAGTGCAGAACGTTGCACTGTGCTGTAACTCTGTGGTGGCAAACTAGTCCTGCCTCTTGCAGCCTCTTGCACTTGTGGTGTTGCTCCATCCCTGCCCTTCTGCTTTCCTTAGATCCATGTCCATCAGCCTCATTCTCCTGCTCTAGGAGAGCTGATCTTGCTTCTGGCTGAGGGGATAAATAGCATACAAGGAGGATAAAGAAAGATCATTCCTAATTTCAGAAAGAAATCTCTGGAGAAGAACTGAAATCCATCAGTGCTGGAGAATCCTCTGTCTGTGGTTCTACTGAACAATGAAATTAAAATCCTTGATTTTTTCCCCTCCCAGCAAGTTGAAAACATGTTATTGAGACAATCATTTTAACCCCCCCCAACACACATTTTCCATTTTGACATTGGAATCTGTGTACCCTTTTCTCAACATCATCATTTGCTGTAGGTAATAAATTACTTAATTAAAAAGAAGTTTGTACATAGACCTTGCAGTGGTTTGTTGTGTTTTCTAGCAGCAATGAACTTCCATGTGCTTCAAGGAACTCCACTCGAGTCTCGCTGTTTTGAAAGTGTTTTTGAAGGGCCTTTGAAGTGCCTAGAGTAATGACTAGCACCCTCTAGTTATTGGCCTAGGTATGTGCCTAGAAAAATGTGTGTTTTGGGCAGAATTTCAGTAGGTAAAATGTCAAAACTTCTTTTTTTTCCTATTCTTTCTGCGACAGTTCTTTGTGTGCATTGACTATTGTACATTACTCTATGAACCATTGTATTATCCTGAGGCACTGGAGGTAAACACTTAGTATTTGTACTCCCAACTCTCCAGAAAATCCTGGAGCAGCTTGAGCAGATCCAAAAGACAAGTGAGTGTTGTGGCAGGAATTGTGTTAAAGTCTGTAAAATAAACCAGATATGGGCAAGGGGAAACACCCTCTTCTCCCAATGCTCAGGAGATGTTTGTACAGCTGGCAGTCTGTGCTCCTTCATATCCCTTGACCCAGGAGTAGCCAAGATTTTAATGCGTTCTTGGAGGGGAGAGAAGGTGTTATGGAACAGAACTGCCACATCAAAGCTTCTCCTCAGCTTGTAAAATGGTTTCCACCACTACCTTCCTCGGCCCTATCGCAGCACTCAGCACTTTCTCCCACTCAGCCTTTTTATTAAGGAATGGCCTCGGAGTTTTATTTATGCTGAAATGATAAAAGTCACCCAAAGCGGTTGAAAAGATCTGCAGAGCTCAAACAAAAGTCCATCAGGGATGTAATGTAAATTCTGGGTAATGGGTCCCTATCAGGCCAAGCCATGTGATTCAGGCTGAAGAAAGTCCTCCCTTCAGTAGAATCTTACCCTGTGGAGTTGTTTTTCAACTAGAACATGGTCTAAAACTTCATGGCTTACATTTTGCTGAGGTTCTGAAGTCTTATTTGTGGCACAGGAAACCAAGTGCTGATAATCAGCTGCACACTGCAGGTTCATGGCCATGATCATGGAGATGATAACTCAGCTCTCATCATCCCTTCCCTTAGTGAGAAGGCTTACACTGACCCTCTGTCCTCCAGCATTCTGCTGGAGCAAATCCAACCTTTAGTCCAAGGTTGACCTCAAGTCAAATTCCTTGAGAACAGGAGAGATGGTCAAGTCCATCCAGTTCAAACCTTTTGTCCAAAGTTGGACACATTGACCTTGGAGGTCTTTTCCAAGCTTAATGATTTGCTGCTTTTTCCTTTAGCATGCTAAATGAGGTAAGGAGGCTAAAACAATTCAATAATAATTAAAAGCTCTAATTCTTTCCATTAAAATCTGTTTGTCCATCCCTTGCAGCACCAGCCCACCCTACTGCTGTGTGGATCTGTATTCCTTGAGGACAGGAGAGATGGTCAAGTCCATCCAGTTCAAGACTCCTATTTATGACCTGCATTGCAATAAAAGGTAAGGCTGGTTCCTCTGCTTTCCTCCTGGGTGAGACCTGGAAAATTGCAGTAAGAAATACAATTTTTTTGTCTTCCCTGTAAGCACAGCTCTGGTTCTCCATTGCTCAAGGGATATTCCAGTTTGGTTCTGACAATATGCTTCCCCAGTGGCTTTTGTTTAAGAAGCTCAAACCATTTTGCATCTGAAATCATTTAAGCTTCTTTCAGTTGTCATGAGGGTGAGCAGGAATCGTGGAAATCCTCCATCATCCACCTTATCCATGCCAGAAATGGGATCAGGGAGAGTTTTAACAGTATGGAGCACTAAGGAGTTTATGTCTCTCTTCTGTGTCTTCTGTTGGTCTGTCATGTATTGCCTTCCTGCACATCCAGGAATTTCCTGGGCTGCAGTGTGTGGGTTACAGGGAATAATGTTCCAGTGAGCCAAATAACAGAGCAGCATTTCCTAGCTGGGATAACACAGCCTGATACCTGACAGCAAATGGCTCTGAAGGCTGAGGATCAGAGTTCAAACAGAACTCAGACTGTTGTGGCCACGGAACGATGAGTTCAGGCTTCTCTGAGCTAAACCTTTGTCTCTCCCAGACACACAAAACTGAACACCCTTGGAGTCTGCCACATTCTTTCAAGGCAGAAGAGAAATCCCAGGATCCCTGTGTGAGGATCTTGCTGATCCCTTGGCACTGCTGGTGGGAGAATTTGCTGCAGTGACTTGGTCCAAGGCCGTTGTTGTGCTGCTGACATTGATGTTCCTCTCACCCAGCTATTACTGTTCTTAGTCACTGTGTCCTCAGGTGCCCTAGGGAAGTGCTGCAATCCCATTCCTGGGGTGAAGGTAGAGCTCTGAATGAAGAAATCAGTGCATTTCTGTGGAGATGCATTTTTGCTTGCCAGAACTGATGGTCCTGCAGTCAGGAAGGTGGAGAATAACACAAATAATCAATGGGAGAACATCAGAGTGATGTGTTTTCTGTGCCTGGTTTGTGGGGCAGTGAGTAACCATGTGTGAAGGCCACAAAGGACAGAGCAAACCTGTGCAGCTAAGGGAAGTTTGCAGTGTAAACTGCTAATAAAAATAAATAAATGAAACCAAGTGAATTAAAAACCCCTTTAGAAGCCACAAAGGTTTTGTTAAACAGACATTGGACCATCAAAATCTAAATGTAATGATGATCTTAGGTCAAGTAGATGTAACAGAGGAAAAATACAACTGGACAAACACCTTTAATTCCACAGCTGGTTTGCTGATGGGGGTATTTTGATGGTGTGAACACTTAGAGAAGTAAAGGTTGGAGGTCTTTGTTATCCCCATCAGCTGTAGGATGTGGCTGTGATTGTTGTGTCACGAAATCCTCTCCCTGGAGTGGCTGAGCTGGTGAGAGCTCTGTTCCTTTAAGCTGTCAGGAGCAGTTCAGGACTTATCTGTGCAACTGTCCCTTGAAAAATTGAAAGTTCCCTTGTGCCCAGTGTGATGACAGTAAATCTTTCCAGCTTGGCCTCTGAGCAGCAGAAAAAAAACAATTGTAAAAACAGTCGAAAGGCAAACCGTCTTTCAAAGTTTCTCCCAACTAAAAAAGTCTTTCCAGGTGCTAATGTTTCTTTTCCTGAGTGGAGAAGATGGAAAAGCTACTTCAAAGCTGTGTGGCTGTATCCAGGGAAGCTGCTGCTCTGGAATGCATCAGATCCTGTTGTTATCCCAGGGAAGCTCAGTGCTTCAGACTGAAAATGCATTAGATGTGGCCAAGTGCAAGGATTAAGGTGTGTTAACTGTGCTGTAGACTAAGGGAGTCCAAAATCTGAATTGAAATATAACTGGAGCTGCAGAAAGAAGGGAGAACTGCCTATTATTTATGTATTTATGCTCTAGAATCATCCACCTGGGAGGGTTCATTTGTGCAGGAAGTTATGTGTCTGCAAGGAGGGGAAAACGAAAATCTACAGGATTGGCAAATATTCCTGTCACATATCCATAGGTTTTCTATATATATGTGATATATATAGACATATATGCACACTTTAAATCTTCCCATTATTCATAGGTTTAATTTAGGCATTGTAAAAATCAGAATTGATACATTTTACTAGTTTTTGTCTCTGTTTAAGCACTTGGAAGGTGTTATTTAACTAAAACTGTATTATTTATCTCTCTGAACTCATCCACAAGCAAATTGATAAGGTATAGATTGTGATTTTAGTCTAGTCCTTCACCAAAATCTTACAGGTGTTGAGCTCTCATGGGAAAAATGAAGTGTCCTGTGGCTGAACAGGTAGAAATAGGGAGAACAGAGTTACAAGGTGCTGAGTGATAAAGCATCACCTGTACCCAGAGACACTGTTGGGACTGATGGGAGTCATCACCTCTTTGCAGGTGATTTTCCCAGACTCACACACAATCAGAGTGTTCACATGAAGCATTAGCTGTGTGTTCCAGTCACTGAGAGATGTGATCAGTTTTTTGCCACATCACATCTTTACAATTCCAACTGTTGGAACAGCATTTAATGATGCTCCATACTGTCAGCTAATTAAAAAAGTACTGTCTTCCAGTCTCCTAATGAGAGAATAATCAGGTTATTAATGATGGCACATTGCTCAATGTTCCATATAGCTGGTGAGTTTTCTCCCAGGTGGTTCTGTCATGTCAGGACTTTAAGAACTTGGTCTGGGGGAGTGATCATTGTGGGAGAAGGTGTAACCTGCCTATAAACCTTCCAAGAGGCTTCACTCTATATTTTAGGCAGCACAGTGGTTCCTGCCTAATTACCATGTCCTTTTGGTCTCTGTCTCAGGTGATGAGCAGGTATAGACAATAAAAGTGTAGAACATTAGGTGAATCCATAATCACACCCCTCTCATTTTGCTAATTGACACAAATCCTGCTTTGCTCAACTCTGTGTGTGCTGATGTTCTTGCTGTTAAACCCTCCCCTGCTTTTTAATGAATAAAATGGCTGAATAAATGAGCACTGGGGTTGGTTCAGGTTGAGCTGCTGCTCTGCCTCTGCATGATCTGATTGTTATTTGAGGCAGGGAAAGTGATTCAGGATCTTTGCAATTCCATTCTTTCTTTTTAATGGAGCTTTTACTGCAGGAGGTCTATCATAAATGTGCTGTGTTGTTCTGTATCAGGTCTGTGTACTTCCTGCACTGAAGGTTATGTGGTTGGGAGGAGAGAGACTCCTCAATAACTGCCAGGTCCTGGTGACCTGGCACTTTGTCACTGGAGAGCTTCTATTGATGCTTTGGAAATAATTACATTTAGGTATTGAATCTTTAAACCAAGACATTTAATGTCTCAAGTGCACCTTCCATTTCTGTGTTTTCAGGATACTTGTGGTGGTCCTGCAGGAGAAAATTGCTGCCTTTGACAGCTGCACTTTCACCAAAAAGTTCTTCGTTACCAGTAGGTATCACTTTGGGCTCAGACCTTTTGCTCTGGTGGTGGAGAGAGATAAACCAGATTGTTTGGTTTGTTGTATGTCTGAATCCTCCAAACAGGTCTCCATGGCTTCAGTTGGAATTTCAGGAAATCTGTTGCTTAAAAAAACCCCTCTCAAACCCTGTGAATATTTGACTCTTCTGCTGTACTTGATTTCTCCCTGTGTGAAGGTCACCCACACTGACATCCATCAGGAGCTGCAAAATCCTTGGGTTCAGTTGGCCTCAGGTTTGGACTTTTATACACACAAGCAGCAATTAAACCCACATCAACAGCAACCTGCCCCCTGTTTATTTCTGGGTGTTCCTCAGCACAAGCACATTGAGTTTTTCATGTGCCTTTACTTTGTTAGGTCCCAAAGCTCCAGCAGGTCATCATTTGCTTTGGAAAGGGCAGAAAAAAAAGGAGTCTCTGAAATTTTCTGGACCTATTTTCTGTCACAATTAGAAAACTTTTAAATGGTCTTTTTCTATTCTCTCTGTATTGAAAGACAAATCTAGGCAGGAGAAGCTGATTCTTGGGAGAGTTTGCAGCTTTGTGCAGTAATATTAAAGTTGCCAATAGGTGTCAGTTTCTTCCTATCCATGGATGTAAGATACTGGGAATTTGCTGGAGTTCAGTGACAAGAGCCAAATGGGAAAAGATGTGTGTCCTTCTGTTCCTCACTCCTTATTCCACTGAAGAGAACTGGGGTAGAAGCATTCATTTTAGATCAAAAGTAAACAAACCTACCTCAGTTAAATGTGTATTTTGATGATTTTTTCCTTTTTTTTTTTTTTTATTCCAGTTATCTTCTTGTTTTTCTTTTTAAAAAAGCTACTGCAATTTGTTTGTAAAAGTGAACCCACTGACCTGTGCTTTGAGGACAGAGTTCCCCTATCCCTAACCAGGACTTTGATTTGCAGTGCATTTCTGTGGAAAAGCAGTGAAATTTCAAGTGGATAAAAGAAACTTTTAGGAGATATTGCCCAAATTACTTGAAAAATCCCAACCTCCTGAAATGTCACTACTCACAGTGTGTCTCTCCAGCTGTGCTGTGTTTTTAATAGAAGAAGCTCAAGATTTGCCCTCCTGAAACTACTCACAGTGTGTCTCTCCAGCTGTGCTGTGTTTTTAATAGAAGAAGCTCAAGATTTGCTCAAACTTTGCTCGAGTTCTGAGCTCCCAAGGTTGGTTCAGGACACCCTAGTTTGGCACAGAACGTTTGTGCTCAGCTCTGGGCCCCTCAGCTCAGGAGGGACATTGAGGTGCTGGAGCAGGTCCAGAGAAGAGCAATGAGGCTGGGGAAGGGAATCAAGAGCTGTGCTGTGTTTTTAATAGAAGAAGCTCAAGATTTGCTCAAACTTTGCTCGAGTTCTGAGCTCCCAAGGTTGGTTCAGGACACCCTAGTTTGGCACAGAACGTTTGTGCTCAGCTCTGGGCCCCTCAGCTCAGGAGGGACATTGAGGTGCTGGAGCAGGTCCAGAGAAGAGCAATGAGGCTGGGGAAGGGAATCAAGCTCTGCCAGGGGAGGGTTAGGTTGGCTATTAGGAAGAGGTTTTTTACAGAGAGAGTGCTCAGGCATTGGAATGTGCTGCCCAGGGAGGTGGTGGATTCCCCATCCCTGGAGGTTTTCAAGCTGAGACTGGATGTGGCACTTAGTGCCATGGTCTAGTGACCATGGTAGGGTTGGACTGGATGATCTTGGAGGTCTTTTCCAACCTGGTTGATCCTATGATTGTGTGATTTGGGACTCTCCAAGAGCTGGAGCTGCTGCCACCACAGCCCTGCCCTGTCACCTCCAGCTTGGTGGTGGCCACTGAAGCAGTGACTGAGCAAATCCATGTGCTTTTTTCTCTGGATGAATGTGTTTCTGGGCCCTGTGCTGGGGAATAGTTGTCCTGAGGACTTTGCAGCTCAGCAGCTCCTGCTCCCAGGTGGGTGTTGTGCTCTGGCATGTTGGAGGCTGCAGGAAAAGCTTTGTCTAAGCTTTCACGTTTCATATGTGCTGAAATCTCTTCCACCTCAGAGTGTGTCTTTAAAGGCTTAAGTTACTCTGATGTGTTTGAAATTCGATGTAAATGAGCTCCCTAGTTAGCTGCAGGGAGTTTTGGGCCTGGGCCAACTGGCCACAACTGGGCTCTCTTGTTGCCTTGTTTTTAAGATTTATTAAGGGGCAGTGCCAGTTAAATAGAAAAAAATAGAAATCCCTGAAAAGGAAGCTCAGAAAAATCCTTTCAGGCCTTTTTGCTTCCCTGATTGGAGCATCCCTGTGTCCCTTGAGGACTCATCCTGGTGCCCCTTTGCTGGGCAGTGGCTCTGAGGATGTCACTGGCTGCACAGGAATTTGTCAGCGTGAGGAAGATTCTCAGCTGTGATTCTTAGCTGCTTTTGGGCAGAAGTGAGGGCATCAAAGGTGAAAATATTACTGATGATCACAAGCTCTTTGAAGCCTTTTCTGTTGGGGTGTAAAGCACTGTAGGAAAAGAAAATCCTTTGGTTCCAGAAGATTTGGTGGTGATGTGGAAATCACATCTTCCCTCTGGATCAGCCAAGTGGTGTGGGAGGCTCAGAACCTCCCTGAGACAGCTGAAACCCGAACATCATTAAGCAGCAGCTCTGGCCCATTTGGCTGCCTCTTTATACCTGGAAATTAAATGCAGAATACACAATTAAAAGCAGTGTCAGGAATTGTGAAGTTGCTCAGAAATGCTAATGCAGCTGCATTGCACATGAGGAGTATTTGTCTCTCTGTTTTTGTTTTTGTGGTTGAATGTGTAGCTTAATATATTGTTACAATAAATATACCATAAAATATTCAGGATGTAGAACATGGTCAAGTTTGTGCTGCTGTTGGGATGTTTAACTCCTGCGTTTCCTGATTTTTCCTTGAGCAAATCTGACACAGAACTAACCTTTCTTTTCCCCCTGCCTGGGATTAGATGGAAGTGTGCTGGTTTGACTCGGATGGCAAAGAGCCAACACGTTTTATTTGTGCCTTTTGTAACCAAACCTCAGGGTACAGGTGCTCCAGGCTTGGGGAGGGAATTTAAGACAGGTGCTTGAACGTGGAGGGAAAACAGACTGTAGCTATTGTGGAAAAATTACCAGGATATCCCATAATCTACCCTGTGGGGTGCTCTGATTTCTAAATGTCTGCTCAGGGAAGGCAGAGCATCAGTCAGCAGAGAACTCCCATCCCTCACTCTGTTCTCCCCAGCTCCACTCCCTAAGGAAGGACTTGCACCAAGGGGAGGATAAAGCCAAGCAGGAATTTCACTTCCTAAACTGTTTTAAGTGCTGACAAAAAAAAATTCATTGGATGCTTCTATTAAGAACGTGTTTCCTTTGCTGGTTGTCTCAAGGTGTGGATTGAAATTGATAACTGAGTTTTGTTGTGGTTCACTTCAGCTTTGCCTCAGAGCCTCTCTCTGAACTCTGCACGTGACTCAACAATCAGACACCAAATTGATGCACAGGGTTTTGTGTTTTTTTTCCCCCCCTACTTTGCTCTAAACAATAGCTGCAGAAAAGCTGAATTTCATTGATTTCTATTACATCAGTGCTCCCTCAACCCTTCTCCAAAAATGCTTACTTCGTGCAACGCTGATGATTATGAATATGACCTGATGGATATTTTCTTCCCTGTAAAGAATATCCTTCCCACCCCCTGGGCCCTGAGTAAAGATTATCACAGATAACATCATGCATGTGGCATCATCTCTGTGTCCGATAACGAGTGCCTGCTCAGTTTCTCTGCCCCTTCCACTCCTCATATTGATATATCCTCCATCCATTATTCCCCAGGGATGGAGACAGTTATTGCAGCCATTAGCTGGCACCACATTTCTATTGATGCTGTACAGCCAGAGCCCTAAGAGGTAATTTTCCAGGTTTTAGTCAGAGTACTTTATTGTATCTAAAGTCTCCAAAGACTTGTCTAACCACAAGCCAAAAATTATTCAGTAGATGTTAAATTCACCCTACCTGCACCTCCCAAAGTGACAAACCCCAAACCAAAGGGGGTTTGATGCTCTGATCTGCAGTTTGGGTTGGGTGTTCCTCTTCTCACTGACATTCACACACCAGGAATGATTTGGTGGGTTCAGTTTGTCTCAGGGCTGATCTGGAAATCATCTCAGCCTTTTTGTTTGGCCATTTGTGTTAGGATTCCTTTCCCTCATGGGCACACAGGGAGCAGTTGGGGCTCTTTGCTTTGAACACTGAGTGTCTTATGAAAAGGTTTAATGCCTGAAGAGTCACATTCTTCAAGTAGCTCTGGTTGTACATGTCCCTCCTCAGCTGTGACCAGGGAGTGGCTTTTCTCCTGGTTATCCCACACTGGAGAATCATTGACAGGATTCCTGTGTCCGTGGGGGAGATCTTCAGCTTGGATTGAAAGTCCTCGAGGCAGGTGGGAAGGCAGATCCTGAGTCACTCTATTTCCTTGATCAGTGGAGAGGAGCCAGGTCTGTTCCTGGGAATGGCTATAGGCACTTTTTGTTCTCATACACACATATGTATGAACATACACTCCTTGGTGTCATATTTATCTGCCTTCCCTGAGAAATGTTGGTTTGATCCTGCTTTTTTTTTCCTTTTTAACACTCTGATTTCTAAGGGTGTTTTTTTCCTGACTGTGGGAATCAGTGTCTCACAGGATAATGCTGAAATACTCTTTGAAGGATCTTCAGGGCACCCTGGTGTAGATTTGTGGAAACAAATGTCTTCATTGCTTGCAGGAGGTTTTTACTCTATTGCAGGAAAGTGTAAATACACGAGGAGAGCTGCAAAAAGCCAGAACAGGAGTCAGTCCCCAAGATGTCTATCTGTCACATCTTCTGCCTTTGACAGGTTTAAAAATGAGCTGGAGCACAGGAAGAGAAACAGTTTGTTTCTCTCCAAGTTATTTTTATCTGAAGCACCCAAATCCTTCATGTGAAAGGCCAAAAAAAGCCATTTTACTCACAGTGTCCTGCACAGAA